GTTATCGACTCATTTTTATGTAGAAACTAATGTTATCGATAATTTTTTTACAGAAAACTTTGTTATCGATAACATTTTTTATTCAATTTATATAACTGAATTGGTATCTTTGTTATCGAAAAGCTTTTTTTTTTGAAGAAAAATATTGTTATCGAAAAAAGTTGCTAAAGAAAATCGTGTTATCGACTCATTTTTATGTAGAAAATAAAGTTATCGATAATTTTTTTAGAGATAATAATAAGAGATAATAATGATAACTTTTTCTATTGAAATTGGTATTTTATTAAATTGGTGTGTTTGTTATCGATAAGTGTTTTTTTGAAGAAAACATATTGTTATCGAAAAAAGTTGCTAAAGAAAATCGTATTATCGACTCATATTGTTATAGAAAATAATGTTATCGATATTTTTTTTCAGAAAACTTTGTTATCGATAACTTTTTCTATTAAAATTGGTATTTTATTGAATTGGTGCATTTGTTATCTATAAGTTGTTTTTGAAGAAAAATATTGTTATCGAACATAATGTTATCGATATTTTTTGCAGAAAACTTTGTCATCGATAAGAGTTTTTTAAAGAAAAATATTGTTATCGAAAAAAGTTGTTAAAGAAAATCGTGTTATCGACTGATTTTTGTATAGAAAAAAACGTTATCGATAATTTTTTTTTACAAAAAACTTTGTCATCGATAACTTTTTCTATTAAAATTTGTATTTTTGGCCACATTTGGGATTATTGGCTATAATTTAGTTAATGGATGTTATCGCGTTTTGACCGTATTTTTTTGGTAGTGGATGTTGCTAATGGATGTTATCGCGTTCCAGATGCTTTGCAATAAAAACTGTCTGTAAAACTTTCTTCAAACCGTATTCAAATCGTTTATCCATCATCATTAATTAAAAATCACACCCAGTAATGATTCACAATGAAATAGCTGTAAATTTATTTTTAGTTAAATTGCAAAAAAATTATACATCACTTTGGCGTTTATTTTCAGGAAATCATTCAATCTTTTATGATTTTTTTTTTAAATATTACTGGAATATGACATCATGACAATTAAACACTTGATTAACAATTGAAAACAAAAAAAACGGGGATTGGCTGCTTAGATAACCTTTTGAACATAAAAATGGCTGTAAAACTTTGCATGTTTAACAATTTGCGCCTCAAAACCAAAGTAGACAACAACAACAACAAGAAAAAAAAAAACAAAAAATTAAAACTCGTTTAATTGTAAACAGCTATGAATATTTTTTGTTTTATTTTTGTTTTTTTTTTTTTTTTAAACTCAACTTCGTGTGAGGAGTTCCAACAATGGAGCTTCATTGTCTGTGTGGGTGGACAAAACAATTTGAAAAATTTTATTTAAAACTTATGCAAACAAACGATTCAAAATTTTGTTTTTTTTTTTTTTTTCAAACAAAAAAAAAAATCCGCTTACATGCCTCACTCACAGCGGAATACCTTAGCTATTGAAATGTTTGGGTTATTCATATCGGACCGGCTTATTAGCATTTAAGTGCTAAATTTGTTATTATTGTGGTTTTGAGATGCGGTGTTTTGTTGTTGTTGTTTTTTTTTTTTTTTCAATACTTTTTTATCCAAGCCAACAATCAATTCCCTTTTTTTCGTTGTGTGAATCATGAAATTCTATACCCGATTTTATGGTTTGTTTTTCATTTTTTGTTTATTTTTCTAATATCAGTTTAAATTTTTTAATTCCAAATCGACCTGACAGTGCCGTCATGTCACCACCAAAAACCTCTCTCAAGGCGTGAGAAAATATTTAAATTTTTCCAACATCAATATTCTGTAGTCGATCTCAAAATTGTTGGCCATTTGTTGTAAAGATGTTTCAAGGTTGTTTTGTTTGTTGTTCAGTTGTTCAATTCTCGCTGGCGCACAACAACAATTATTGTTCGATTTGTATGCCCATGCATTCGGCCAAAACCGCTCGTGACAATTTAATAAACAAGACAGTTGACACACTGTCTGGTGTGGAATGAATACAAACGAAGTCATAGAGTTTTTTTTTGTTTTTGGTTTTGGGCGGTATGGGGAATTTGGCATACCAATGGCCTTATAGGATATAATTCGATAATATTCAAATATAAATCAAGGTTTTATGAGATGATTTAATATGTGGCTTACGGACACCCCTATATTTCAGATTTTCACAATTAAGTGATAATCGAAATAAATTATTGTTATCGATTTTTTTGAATATAAATATAAATAACATTATCTTTAATACTTTCTATAAAACCTGTTCTTGTCGGACCACATTTCTTATGAAAATGGAATTATCGAACAACTATCTGTAGATTGTGAAGTTATCGACGACTGTAAATGCTATTATCGACAACATTTTCTATCTTCAATTCAATTTAAATTAAATTTGTATCTAAAATTATCGTCAATATTATCAATTGATATCGATAACATTTTCCATTTTAAATATAGTTATGGATAATATATTTCAAGAAAATTGGGTTAAAATGTAATTATCGATAACATTTTTTATCTAAAATAATATTATCGATAATGTTTTCTATAGAATATATTGCTATCGATAACTTTTATATAAAAAAGTTTGTTATCGAACAACTTTTCTAGTAAAAACATTGTTATCGAACAAATTTCTAAAGAAAATGTTGCTATCGAACAACTTTTCAATAGAAAATGTTGTTATCGAACAACTTTTCTGTAGAAAAGGTTGTTTTCGAACAACTTTTCTATAGAAAATGTTGTTATCGACAACAATTTCCATAGAAAATGTTGTTATCGACAACAATTTCTATAGAAAATGTTGTTATCGAACAGCTTTTCTAAAGTAAATGTTGTTATCGGAAAACTTATCTATAGAAAATTTTGTTATCGAAAAAATTTTCTATAGTAAATGTTGTTATCGAACAAATTTTCTATAGAAAAAATTGTTATCGACAACGTTTTCTATTGAAAATGTGGTTATCGACAACGATTTCCATAGAAAATGTTGTTATCGACAACGATTTCCATAAAAAATGTTGTTATCGACAACGGCTTCTATAGAAAATGTTGTTATCGACAACGGTTTCTATAGAAAATGTTGTTATCGACAACGGTTTCTATAGAAAATGTTGTTATCGATAACGTTTCCTCTAGAAAATATTGTTATCGACAACGGTTTCTATATAAAATGTTGTTATCGACAACGTTTTCTATAGAAAATGTTGTTATCGACAACGATTTCCATAGAAAATGTTTTGTTATCGACAACGATTTCTTTAGAAAATGTTGTTATCGACAACTTTTCTATAGAAAATGTTGTTATCGACAACGATTTCTATAGAAAATGTTGTTATCGACAACGATTTCTATAGAAAATATTATTATCGAACCACTTTTCTATAGAAAAAGCTTTTATCGAACAACTTTTCCATAGAAAATGTTGTTATCGACAACGGTTTCTATAGAAAATGTTGTTATCGACAACGTGTTCTATAGAAAATGTTGTTATCGACAACGTTTTCTATAGAAAATGTTATTATCGACAACGATTTCTATAGAAAATGTTGTTATCGATAACGATTTCTTTAGAAAATGTTGTTATCGATAACGATTTCTTTAGAAAATGTTGTTATCGATAACGATTTCTTTAGAAAATGTTGTTATCGATAACGATTTCTTTAGAAAATGTTGTTATCGACAACGATTTCCATAGAAAATGTTTTGTTATCGACAACGATTTCTATAGAAAATGTTGTTATTGGAAACGATTTCTATAGAAAATGTTGTTATCGACAACGATTTCTATAGAAAATGTTGTTATCGACAACGATTTCTATAGAAAATGTTGTTATCGACAACGATTTCTATAGAAAATGTTGTTATCGACAACGATTTCTATAGAAAATGTTGTTATCGATAACGATTTCTTTAGAAAATGTTGTTATCGATAACGATTTCTTTAGAAAATGTTGTTATTGGAAACGATTTCTATAGAAAATGTTGTTATCGACAACGATTTCCATAGAAAATGTTTTGTTATGGAACAAAAAATGTTGTTATCTACAACGATTTCCATTGAAAATGTTTTTATTGAACAAAAATGTTGTTATCGACAACGTTTTCTATAGAAAATGTTGTTATCGACAACGATCTCTATAGGAAATGTTGTTATCAACAACGTTTTTTATAGAAATTGTTGTTATCGACAACGATTTCCATAGAAATTGTTGTTATCGACAACGTTTTCTGTAGAAAATTTTGTTATCGACAACGTTTTCTATAGGAAATGTTGTTATCGACAACGTTTTCTATAGAAAATGTTGTTATCGACAACGTTATCTATAGAAAATGTTGTTATCCACACTATTTTCTGTTGCATATTTATTTCAATACTGTATCATTACATTTTTAACCTAGAGACACAAGGAATTTTCCACACACACACCCACTCACATTCCACTTTCATTGAAAACGATGTAAACCTATCCAGCCAATAATTTTACGTAGCTGCCGTTACGGCATTGAATTGGGCCACCTACATTTGTAACTGATCTAAGCCACTGTTCACGTTGTTGCACATGATTGCGATTGTCTCAATTCCCCAGATCCGATCGACTACAAGTTCCGATTCTACTAAGTCTTTTGTTTCATAATTACGATGTTATGGGTGAAAATTCCAAATACCGATTATGCATTTAAGCGAATGATTAAACGCCGAACTATAAATAACAAAACAAAACTTGTTATTGATGTTTGAGTATTGATATCGTGGCGTATGGATATCAGTATCAAAAAGTGGAAGGGGGAAATTTGGCGACAACAAAGATCTGGGTTTGTTGGTAGTCTTGTAAATCTGGAAAAAAGTTAGGAAACATTTTTTAAATCGCAAATATTTTTAAAGATTCCAAAAACAAGATTTCCTAACAACAAAAAATTCTTTAAAAAAATTGTTAAAAAATCCAAAAATCTTAGAAAATTAATATATTTTTTCAATTTTTTGTTTTCAGAACATCTTGGAGAAATTCAACCCCGGAGCTCGACAATTAATCACTGCCGGCAAAGGTTATCTAAAGTCATTACATGGTAAGTGATGAGATAGTAGTTTTAAATAAAAAAAAATATAAGAATATTTTTTTTTTTTGAAAAAAAAAAAAAAACAATTACCTGCCTCCACTCTGGCCCCCTCCCCCTGGCCGATAATAGTTTTGCCTGTTTTATTAATTTTTAAACGTTCGAATGTCTAATTTTTCATTCGATGTAACAACATTCATTAGTTGGCTAAATTTAATACCTGAGCGTTGTAAATACAAAATTACAACAACAACAAGAAATACATTGACTTATTTTTGTTTTTGTTTTCTTTGTTTCATTTTCTTGTGGTGCAGGTGCTGCAACATCAGCGCGCGTATTCAATGAAGCTTTAGCCAAGATTGCCATGAATGCTCAACACAGTGGAACTGGAGATATAGGTAAGAGATATAAGAGATAAAAAAAACAATTCAGGGGCGTAGCTGCATCATTTTTTCAAATGGGAAACTCATTATTTCAATTGGGCGCCACAGCCTTTTGGAGTCCAAAAATGCGAAAAAAAATTAAATCTTAAGGGGACTACAATTCTCCCACAGAGAAAGAGAAAAATATTGTCTCTCTCTGAGAGGAAAATTTTTCTCCATCAAATCTTTCACATTTTCTAACAAAATTTCCTACCAACCTGTCCCCGCCGTCTGTCTATCTTTCTTTTCTAATTCCAATGATTTGACGATGTTCAACATTTTTACAGGTGCGGCTCTACTCAGTGTTGTCAGTGTCTACAAAGAAATCCAAGAACAACAAATGAACATTGTAAGTATTGTCCGACAGATCGGCGACCGGTCGGCCGTTCCTCAACTTATTGGGAAGGGGAAAGTTGGCTGATAGCAAAAAACATATGTCAAGAATTTCTTTTGAATTGCAATTTGCTTTTATTTTCTATTTGTTCTTGTTTGTTTAATTTCTTCCTCTTTCTCTCCCCCTCCCTCTCTCCCATTATTTTCATTCACTCAGCTCAAAGCCTTTTATGTGGATCTATTAGTGCCATTAGAAACCAATTTGGAAAAGGATACAAAAGTCGTCCAACACGAACAGAAGAAATTCTTGCAGCAGCACAAAGTGCGCATGGAATCGTTTCAGAAGGCCGTCACAACGATGAAGAAGCAGCGCAAAAAAAAAGCTAGTCCCGAAAATACGGAAAAGGAATTAAGGGTGAGTTGCAAAATTTAGATCGATAACACAATTTTTCTTCAAAAATTCGATCGATAACCATCTTATCTAAAGAAAATATATTCGATAACAACATTTTCTATCGAAAATCGTTTCGATAACAATAAAATTTTAATAGAAATTGATCGATAATACTATTTAAACGATAACTATGTTTTCAGTTGTCGATAACAACATTTTCTATCAAAAACGTTGTCGATAACAACATTTTCTATCAAAAACGTTGTCGATAACAACATAATCGATCAATCCCACGGCAGCGGGTTCTACGATACCGGATTGACCCGAAACAACAAGTTTCCTGTTTCGGCCAGCGGCTGCCAACCCAGTATGTACATGTTTGTGTTTGTTTATTTTTCTGCATTGGGAGCAGCATATCCCGGAATGCTTGCTCCGGATTTTATTGGTCCGTGCCGGGATTGAGGAAAACCCCGGACCTTGGTTCTGCTCGGTTTGTCAGAACGTCATCCACCACAGATCTGTCTCGGTGCGATGTAATGGATGCAGAGAGTGGGTGCACTTCAAGAACTGTTCCGGATTAAGGCGTTTGCGAGACTACAGCGAAAGGGATTATGTTGCGACTTGCTGCAGTAACGTAGTCCCCAGCGAGTCCTCTTCTTCGTCGTCCTCGTCAGAGACGTCGTCGGAGTATGGCACTCCACCGCAGTCTCCAGAACAGCAACCAACACCGCAGCACCTAACGCCACATGTTGCTGTTCCAACTCCGGATTGTGCATCATTCTTGCAATTCAATTGCAACGGACTTCGAGGCAAAATAGATGAGATAGTGGAATTTATGAGTCGGAGGAATATTAAGATCGCAGCGGTGCAGGAAACCAAGCTGAATGAAAATTGCAGCCTACAACGTTGTTATGGTTACAACGTACTAAGGAAGGATCGCACCAGAAGTGGAGGTGGGGGATTAGCGTTCCTGTTACACCATTCTGTTCAGTACAGACCTATCTCGCTTGAGCTAGTCTCTAGTGACCCATACATGGAATGTATGGGGGTAGCAGTCAAGTGTGGAACTGCCGAGGTAGAGGTGCTTAATGTGTATATCCCGCCGATTAATAGCTGTGAACCACGTTATTTGCCTGATATTAGCCCATTATTGGTAGGCAATAACCGCCTGGTACTAGGGGATTTTAATGCCCACCATGAGTTGTGGCATTCCGTCCTAGGTAATGACCAGAGGGGATCAGCGCTGGCAGAGCAGATTGACTGCTCCACATTCTGCACGGTTAACGAGGATGCCCCCACCCGAATAAGAGGAGAGTGTCACAGTTCGCCAGATTTAACCATAGTGTCACCCGGTCTGATAAATGACGTGACTTGGCAACCCGTCATTTCTCTTGGCTCAGACCATCTCCCGATAATCGTCTCCATAAGCAGGTCGCCCGATTTCATAACCTCTGAACGCCGCACTTTCCTTAACCATGGGAAAGCTCACTGGCCAGAGTTCAGAGAATTCACCAACCGCCGCTTCAGAGAACTGCCCAACCCTTCTGATGTTCGGGTAGCAGAAAGGATTTTCCGAAACATCATCAGAGCTGCAGCCGCTCGCTATATACCTGCTGGTCGAATACCCGAGATAAGACCAAACTTCCCAGCAGAGGCAGCGGGATTAGCAAACGAGCGTGATGATCTCCGTCGTACCAACCCTACTGATCCTAGAATCAGTGATTTGACAGTGGAAGTCAACCGGTTGGTGCAGGAGCATAAGAGGAAAAAGTGGCTAGACCATCTGAAGTGCTGCAACATTGGAACCGATATGAGTAAGCTGTGGGTAACGGTTAAGTCGCTCTCGAACCCTGGAAAAAAGGATGATAGGACCTCAGTCACTTTTAACGACGTAACGGTGACTGATCCGAAGAGGTGCGCGGAATATTTTAACCGACAATTTGTCGAGCACCCCGAGAGTGATAGGGCGAAGCGAAGAGTACTACGTCGTATCAGATCTCTTCCCGCCGAGGAGGAACCACCACAGTTTACGATGGGTGATGTTGCAAATGTCATCCGTAACGCTAAGTCATCCAAAGCGTTGGGCCCGGACGGAATCTCAATGGTAATGTTGAAGCAGCTGGATACGCCGGGAGTCGAGTACTTAACAAAAGTTCTCAATTTGTCGCTAGCCACCTACATAGTGCCCGAAACCTGGAAAATGGGCCGGGTGGTCCCGCTACTGAAGCCAGGCAAGGATGCCAGTAAAGGCGAATCGTACAGGCCGATTTCGCTTTTGTCGCCAGTAGCAAAGACTCTTGAGGCTTTACTCCTCCCCAGCATTAGAGGAAGCTATGCAGTTGCCAACCACCAGCATGGATTCCGTCCACAACATAGTACCACAACAGCATTACACGCCATTTCCACACATATTAGTAGAGGACTAAACCAGAACAGGCCGTGTGACAGAACAGTGTTGGTAGCCCTTGACCTATCAAAGGCATTTGATACGGTCAATCATGCCACACTGTTTGAGGACGTACAGAGAACTACCCTCCGGCCAAGTTTGAAACGTTGGATAATCAACTATATGTGTGGACGCCAGTCGTACGTGGAATTCCGGAACAAGAAGTCCAAAGCCCGTAGAGTGAAACAGGGAGTTCCCCAAGGTGGGGTGATATCTCCGGAACTGTTTAACCTCTACCTTTCCGGAATTCCTCGCCCTCCAGACGGCATTGAGATCGTAACGTATGCGGATGATTGTACGATCATGGCGTCGGGTCCAGTGGTCGATGACATATGCGAAAGGTTGAACCCCTATCTCGCGGAGCTTGCCGCATACTTCCACGCGAGGAATATGAAAATATCCGCCACGAAATCAACGGCCACACTCTTTACCACATGGTCTGCGGAGATGAGAACACAGCTGAATGTTCAGGTCGAGGGGAATTTAATACCGACCACGAACTACCCCAAGATTCTTGGGGTAACGTTCGACAGCATGTTCAAGTCGTCCGCGCAAGCCACAGCTATCTGCGACAAGATGAAAAGTAGGAACAAGGTCCTCAAGGCGCTAGCCGGCAGCTCTTGGGGTGCGGACAAAGAAACCTTGTTGACCTCTTATAACGCGATAGGTCGGTCTGTGGTCAACTATGCGGCTCCAGTGTGGTCTGCGAATACTAGTGCTACGCAGTGGAAGAATATCCAGACCTGCCAGAACGCTGCCCTGAGAACTGCGACAGGGTGCCTCCTCATGACACCAGTGGACCATCTACATGAGGAGGCGAAAGTCCTTCCCTTACGTCAGCATAATCATATGCTTTCGTTGCAGTACCTGCTTGGGTGTTACCGTGAGAGCCATCCCAACCATCACATGGTGGATAACTCTCCCCCACCCAGGCGTGTCAGGAAGGACATACATGATCTAGAGAGGGAGGTCCAGCGCTACAAGAGAGAGCCTCTAGATCAAGAAGCCTATCAGGCAGGTCTGAGTGGCATTCACACCGATGCAGTCGCGGATGCTATTAGCAGTTACAAAGTGAATGCCGTCCTCGGAGTCCACCCCCCATCCATTGCAGCCGAAGAACGTCAGCTGCCTAGACAAACCAGGGTAGTTTTGGCGCAATTACGTTCAGGATGGTGTAGTCGCCTCAATTCGTATTGGGCACGAATTGATGAAGATGTGCGTGACGCCTGCCCGGCGTGTGATACAGGCCCGCACAATACGCTACACCTTTTTAATTGCTCAGCCAAACCTACCCAACTCACTCCAGAGGATCTCTGGCTACAGCCCGTTAAAGTAGCCGAATTTCTAAACCTGGAGCTGGAACCAGATTAGCAGAACACAAACACACACATGTACTACTGCTACAACAACAACAACAACAACAACATAATCGATAACTTTTTTCATAGAAAAGTTATTCGATAACCACATTTTCTTTAGAAAACGTTGTCGATAACAAAATTTTCTATAGAAAACGTTGTCGATAACAACATTTTCAATTGAAATCGTTGTCGATAACAACATTTTCTATAGAAAACGTTGTCGATAACAACATTTTCTATAGAAAACGTTGTCGATAACAACATTTTCTATAGAAAACGTTGTCGATAACAACATTTTCTATAGAAAACGTTGTCGATAACAACATTTTCTATAGAAAACGTTGTCGATAACAACATTTTCTATAGAAAATGTTGTCGATAACAACATTTTCTATAAAAAAGTTCTTCGATAACAAATTTTTTGTTGTCGATAAAAACATTTTCTATAGAAACCGTTGTCGATAACAACATTTTCTATAGAAACCGTTGTCGAATACAACATTTTCTATAGAAAACGTTGTCGATAACAACATTTTCTATCGAAAACGTTGTCGATAACAACATTTTCTATAGAAACCGTTGTCGATAACAACATTTTCTATCGAAAACGTTGTCGATAACAACATTTTCTATCGAAAACGTTGTCGATAACAACATTTTCTATAGGAAACGTTGTCGATAACAACATTTTCTCTAGAAAACGTGGTCGATAACAACATTTTCTATAGAAAAGTTGTTCGATAACAACAGATTCTATAGAAAAGTTGTTCGATAACAACATTTCTATAGAAATCGTTGTTCGATAACAACATTTCTATAGAAATCGTTGTTCGATAACAATATTTCTATAGAAATCGTTGTTCGATAACAATTTTTTCTATAGAAAAGTTGTTCGATAACCACATTTTCTATAGAAAAGTTGTTCGATAACAACGTTTTCTATAGAAAAGTTGTTCGATAACAACGTTTTCTATAGAAAAGTTGTTCGATAACAACATTTTCTATAGAAAACGTTGTCGATAGCAACATTTTCTGTACAAAAGTTGTTCGATAACAATATTTTCTGTAGAAAACGTTGTCGATAACAACATTTTCTATGGAAACTGTTGTCGATAACAACATTTTCTATAGGAAACGTTGTCGATAACAACATTTTCTATAATAATCGTTGTCGATAACGACATTTGTCTTTTCCTATAGAAAAGCTGTTCGATAACAACTTTTCCTATAGAAAAGCTGTTCGATAACAACATTTTCTGTAGAAAAGTTGTTCGATAATAACATTTTCTATACAAAAGTTGTTCGATAACAACTTTTTCTATAGAAAAGTTGTTCGATAACAAAACAGTATTTTCTATAGAAAAGTTCTTCGATTACAGCATTTTCGGTAGAAAAGTTGTTCGATAACAACTTTTTTTATAGAAAAGTTGTTCGATAACAATTTTTTCTATAGAAAAGTTGTTCGGTAACAACATTATTTTATCGATTACCAGTTCCTTGCGTCTTTTATGCGTTACCGTTAAACTCTTTATAATCACCAATATGTTAAATAATCATTTTCCTCTCTTCTCCCTCTCTTTTCATCTCTATCACGCAGTCCTTGCAAATCTTGGAAGACCAAAAGAAAAAATTGGATGCATTTTGCGAGCAAAGCTATAAAAATGTAAGTCAATGACCTGAAACCAGATCATTATTGGGGTTAATTGGCCCCAATCATTATCGGGTTGTTTAAATTCAAATTGTTTTGTTTTGCGTTTTTCCCAGGCCATGACTCAAGAACGACGTCGTTATGGTTTCGTTTTGGAGCGCCAATGTTCGATAGCCAAACACTGGATGGCCTATCACAGCACCGGCAAACAGGTAATCGATAATCATTTGGAAAATTGGCAAGACATTGCGGCCTCTCGAGAGGTCTTGCCCAGCACCGTGTACGATGGTAATTCGCTGTTGGTCGGCAATAAAAGATTGGTAGGTTGTTGGAAATGTGTTGTGAGATTTTAATTTTTTTGCTA